CTGTGGAGCAGACAGGCGGGGGGGGGGGGGGGGGGGGGGGGGGGGGGGGGGGGGGGGGGGGCTACTGGGAGCAAGACTTGGAGACAGAGGGATGGGTCATGAGGGACAAGGGACGGTCCCCTCCCTCAGGGGACACTGCCTTGCCCTGCAGGCCTGAGTCCCCTCTTCTCAGCTCAGTCCTGTGTTACCCTTTGGGAACCTGCTGGAAATAGGGGGTGCCCTCACCCTCTGCTGGAGCCTCCAGAGGGGACGAGTAGCGGCTAACCCAGTAACTTTGGTCCATTTTGGACTTCTGACCTCTGAATCTGGAAGGCAGTTCCTTTTTGTTGTTTTAAGCCACCAGGTTTGGGGTAGTTTGTCACAGTATCAGTAGAAGACCATATACTGGGTGACTTACCCTTCTACCTCTCCTTGGAGTAGAAGCAAGAGCCCCGAGGATGCCAGACACAACCCTCTGACCTGGCCTGGGTGCTTTGGGTGCGAAACTTCCTCTAGTCTTACAGGAAGCCTGGACACACCCATATTCACAGAAGCACCATTGGCAACAGCGAAAGGCGTGGTGGTCCAAGTGCGCATCGGGGGATAACAAGATGCAGTACATGCAGCCAACGGAACCTCACACCATGTTCTAAAAGAAGAAATTCTGACACGTGCCACAACATGAATGGACCTTGGAAACAGGATCTGTGTGAAATAAGCCAGTCACAATAGGACAAAATTGTCTGATTCCGCGGGGGCCCGTGGGGCAGCCTTGTAATCCCCACCACTCCTCAGACACGTCCGCCCCGGGAAGGAGTCCCAGGCCTTCCTGCCCCTGCTCCAGGCTCCTTGGCCTGCCCCTCCTGCTGCTCCCCAGCCAGGCTCCTTCCTGCTGCCGGTAAAGTCACCCACGCCCCTTCCTGCCACCCTGCCCTGATGCWCAGCCGTCCCCCGGAATCCCACTCACCCTCCCCAGCCCAGGTCCTGTCCCCCGGACTCTTTCCTCATCCTTCACCGCACAACCTGCCCCCTGCCAGGGTCCCTGCTTCCTCTTGTCCCTGAAGGGAAGACATGTCAAGGCTGGAGGCCCCCAAGTCCCAGTTTGTGAGTCTGAGAGGGTGGGAGGTGCTCCAGAACCCCAGGAGCTTCACCTTCCAGCTAAGGCAGGACAGACGACTGCTGCCCTGGCTTGCGGCATCGACCCTCTGTCCTTCCTGAGCCTCAGGACACACATCTCCTCCTCCTGCTTCTCTTCACCCCTCTGTTGCTCCCTCTTGGTGTCCTCCGCCAGCACCTCCATGTCACCTCCACCTCCATGTCAGGTCCCACCTCGCCCTCTGTCCTCCTCCTTCCCCTSACCACGTGGATCCTGCAACAGCCGGCTAACCCTGCTTCTGGCCTGSGCCTCTGCAGCCTCTTCTCCACACAGCAGCCAGAGTTGCCGCAGCATCATGCCCTCCTCTGCTCAGAGTGCCCCAGTAGCTTCTCACACGGTGAAAACCTAAGTCCCTACACACAAAACCTGCCATTGGATTCAAGCGCATTGCCCTCCCCGGATTCCTCCTTCTAAGCCTTACTTACCCACCCTTCAGCCTTCTTACACTCTCCTCCCTGCCTGCCTTGATCTGGCTACTCTGCCCACTCCTACCACAGGGCCCTGCACTAGCTCTTCCCTCTTCTTGGAAGACCCTTCCACCGGGAATAAAAATGGCTCCCCCCTTTACCTCCTTCAAGTTTTTACTCAAATGTTAGCTTCTTAATGAGGCTCCTGGGACCACCCCATTTAAAGCTGCAAACCATCTCCACTCTGCTGTACTGCCTCTACCTCCCCACCCCGCTCTGATTGTTCTTTACAACCATCACTTTCAAGCATTTTGTATAATCTCGGTTTATTCTTTATGCTTCTCTTTCCTCCGCGGGGCAAGGACCCCTCTCCTCACTCACGGCCGGATCCCTGCGTGTACCAGTGTGTGACACATAGGAAGCGGACACCTTAGAGTTCCTAGTCCAAAACACGGGTGACCGCCTTGCCAAGGTCTCACGAGCCCACGGGCGGCAGACGGAAGGGGCATGGCTTGGGCGTCTGTTGGCCCTGGGGTGTCATCAAGCCTTCTGGATCCCCCGTTTGCGACTTGGAGATGTTGCGTGTCCGGGGCTCCGTGGACGCTGGAACCCCCACCCGCCCGTGCCCAGTCCTGGGCGCCCGAGCCTGGCTGCGGGTCCAGCTGTCCACGCAGGATTTCACCTGACCTTCCGTCAGCGCGAGGCCGGCAGCGCCCCTTGGTGACAGCGCCGAGTCCTAGGTGCACCCACGCCCCGCGCGGGAGGCGCCGAGGGTCGGCGGGCGGCGCGGGGCTCTGCCGGGACTACATTTCCCAGGAGCGGCTTCCCGCGCGCTGCGGCTCCGGCCTTTAAAGGGCTTCGCGTGGCGAGGGCGGGGGCTGGGGGCGACACCTCTGCGGCCCGCCAGCGGCCCTGCGAGGGCAGGGACCCGAGGGGGCCCGGGGGCCTGGGCCCAGCAGCGCCCACAGGGCGAGGCCACGCTGGACTGGAGGCGGCCTCTCCTCATTCCCCCCCACCCCCGACCCCGCCAGCCTGGTCCTGGGCCCCCAGCCCCCGGGACCCTTCCCTCCTCCTCCAGGGCTTCCCAACAGGGATGGGCAACGAAGGGGGACAGGGTGTCCGCAGGCTGGTGGCCCGCTCCCCGCCGACCCCTCCCCCATTTCTGGCTTTCACAGGTCGCGGGGATGGGCGGGGACGAGGCGTGTGAGAGCCGCAAAATGAACTGAAGGCGGGATCTCCCCAGGAGAGGGCTGGCACTGCCCTGCCCCACCCCTCCTTCCAAGCTCGGTGGCCCCCACGGTCAACTGGGGGTGATGGGGTACTGATCACATTGCCTCCCAGTTGGGAGGCACAAAGGATCAAGAAACTGTGCGAATTCTGTGTTTCAGCCTCCTGTCACTGGATTCAGGCAGTCGTTATTCTGAGGCAAAATGGCCTGGGGGCGGGTGGGGGGTGACATCTCTGGGAGCGCAGGGTGGAACAGTGGTTTAGGGGTAGCTCTTTGGGAATGCATTTTCCCCTTCCAGATCTTAGTGGGCACCCGCAGAACTGTCTTTGAAAATAGCCAAAACAAACCTACTACAGTGTTGTGTCTTCAAATCAGGAAACCTCAGGGTAATGGACATCACAGAAATGAGAACCTTGACCCTTCCAACTAACCTGGCCCTGGGGCTTCTCTTTGCGGCCTGTGCCACTGAGATAAGCCTTGGGAGAAGGCATCTCCACSGGTCTGGGCCTCCCCCTCCCCGTCTCCTCCCCTCCCCCATCATTTGGATTAACCCATCCCACGGTGTGTGGGGGGAACCCACTCACGTGCCTTGGACTCGGGACTCCCAGGTCCAGCAGGAGCCCTCCCAGCAGCCCCCAATTACAATCCCCCCATCCTAAGCCTTCCTTCCCCCACCCCTCCCGGGCAGGACGGTCTGCACACAGCTCCCTGGCCGGCTGTACCAGGGATGTGTTTATTTTGACCAGCTACAAAAACCCACTGCCAGGGTATTGTTCAATTAAAGAGTGACAGACCTTTTTGCTAAGGAATAAAAGCGGGTTGTTTGAGGGAGGGGGCCCACGAGCAAGCGTCCCAGAGTCCTATCCCCGCAAGGATCCCACTCCCTGCCCAGCGGACCTGACACTGTGAGCAGGGCTCCTGGGGTCTCTGGGGTTCCTTCTGCTGGCATCTGAGCCCCTAAAGCCCCACTCCGAGCCCAGGACTGCGCACGGACCGTGGCGCCCCTTGTCCACTTGGTCTGTACCTGYGGAGCTCCAGGAGGAAATGTTTACATTTTAACAAAGACGTTGCATCTTCCCAGCAAAATGGCGGTGGGCTCCCTGGATAACTGCACTCTTCCCGAGGATCAGTCACGAGCCAGGGAATGGGACCCTTCCTTGCCTGGCCTGCAGCACCCCATTTCCCCAAGTCTCGAAAGCACTCAGGGCCTCTCCTCATCCCGGGGGCGCCCAGGACCGACGGACTGGCCTCTGGGGCAGCTCCTCCATTGTGGACCCCCCACACCCTACACCCATAGGCTCCCAGGGACCTTGGGAGCGGGGCTGGACCCCTAGGCTGGGCCTCGGGGTGCGGGGCAGCGAGCTCGGCCTCCTCCGCCCCAAGGCTCCCAGGCCGAGGGAGGCGCGTAAATGATCTCTCCGTTAGGAATGTGGGGGTCCTCCAGGGGAGCAGGCCACCCGGGGGCCCCTTCCCATCTCTCTGGGGACCCAGGTGGTACTGGGGGTCCGGCCTCAGGAGGGGACCTCGATGCATAAGTCGGGGGGCTCGCTGGGGGAGAAGTCTCCGGAGGGGGAAGGGACGAAGTTTGAAAGTGCTCTTCCAACTCTTCCAGGGAAAGTTTCCTCGGGGGGCCCGTGGACTGACTGGGGGTAGGGGTGCGGGGGGGTCGGGGGAGGGGTGACCCCCGAGAGCTGGCCGGACCCCGGGGGAGCGACCCCTCCCCCCTGTCCCGGCTCAGCCCGGCTGGGAGTCTCCCCTATCGGGGCCGCGTGTGTTAGTTGGGGCTGCTTTCCAGCCGCGCCGCGGGGCCGGGGGGCGTCGCAGCGGGCCGGGAGCCGGGTCGCTGGTAGCCCCAGGGGGGAGCTTTGCAACGGGGTGCTTCCCGCCGCGGTGCTCCCCGGCCCCGCAGAGCAAGCCCCCCGCAAAGGGGAAATGTGCCGGCGCCCCGGCGGTCCTCGGCGCCGTTTGGGGCGCGTGGCGGGCGCGGGGGGCGGCGGCGGGGCCGGCGGGCTGCCCAGCAGGGAAGCCCAGGGAGCCGGGCAGCGGCCCCGGGCGGCGGCGGGGGGCGGGAAGGCCCGGGCCGGGGGGAAAGGTCGGATTTGCTCGGCGGAAGAAACACAGATGGCGGCGGCGCGGCGCCATTCCGGGCCGGGAGCAGGCAGCCAGCAGCCCTGTCCTCACCGCGGTCCGCCCGCCGCCGCTAAATACCCGGATGCGCCGCCCGAGCGCCAGACGCGGAGCTGGGAAAAGGGAGGCAGAAGAGGCGGAGGCAGAGCCTGAGCAGGAGCCTGAGCCCGAGCCCGGCGCCCGAGCCGAGCGCACACCCGCGCGGCCGGGCCACGCAGAGCCGGCCCGGCGAGCCCTCCCGAGACCCGCGCCCGGCAGGAGAGGCCGCGAGCCCTCGCCCGCACCCCCGCCAGCCGGACCCCGCACTGGCCCGCGGGTCAGGGGCCCGAGAGCAGACCCCAAGTCAGGCTTCGCTCCGCCTCCGACGAGGGCTAGTCCTTTGGAAGGCGCCTTCGGCAGGAGCAGGAGGGCCACCATGACCGAGAACTCCACGTCCACTCCCGCGGCCAAACCCAAGCGGGCCAAGGCCTCCAAGAAGTCCACAGACCACCCCAAGTATTCAGACATGATCGTGGCTGCCATCCAGGCCGAGAAGAACCGCGCCGGCTCCTCTCGCCAGTCGATCCAGAAGTACATCAAGAGTCACTACAAGGTGGGGGAGAACGCCGACTCCCAGATCAAGTTGTCCATCAAGCGCCTGGTGACCACCGGCGTCCTCAAGCAAACCAAAGGGGTGGGTGCCTCGGGGTCCTTCCGTCTGGCCAAGAGCGACGAGCCCAAGAGGTCCGTGGCCTTCAAGAAGACCAAGAAAGAAGTCAAGAAGGTGGCCACGCCAAAGAAGGCAACCAAGCCCAAGAAGGCTGCCACCAAAGCCCCCAGCAAGAAGCCCAAAGCCCCCCCAGCCAAGAAGGCCAAGAAGAAGCCGCCTGCCACGCCCAGGAAAGCCAAAACCCCCAAGGTCGTCAAAGCCAAGCCCGTGAAGGCGACCAAGCCCAAGAAGGCCAAACCAGTGAAGCCCAAAGCCAAGTCCAGTGCCAAGAGAGCCGGCAAGAAGAAGTGACAGCCAAGGCTTCTCTGTGGACACTCCTTCCTCTCTGTTTTCTGTAAATATTCTCCTCCTTTTCTCTCTCGATCCTCCTCTGCAACCCTTTGCCCCATTCTATTCTGACTTTATGAGATGGAATTTGGATTCCTCAAAAATTGTGGGACAGTCCCCTTTTCCTTAACAGTGGTACAAGGACAGCAGCGACAGACCTGGGCTGTGTGGTGCCGGGATGTGCTTGCACATTGTGTTCTGTGGATTCGCTAGTCTCTGGGGTCRGGGGTCTGGGTGGTTTGTTTGCTATGAAGGTAGGTGCGGGAGGCAGTTTGTTCTGGCTGGACAAGAGGGAGCCCCGGAACTGGGGCGCTGGGGGAGTGTCTTGAAGTTGGGCGCCCCTTGTGAGAGTCTCAGAGCCTTTTCGGGGAGGAAAGCGGTGACAGCCACCAGTGGCAAAGGAGAGAGGTGGACCTCCCGGTGGTGAGCAGTGGCCAGTTCCTCCTCACTTTTGTTAATCTGCCCTAGTGGCCTCTATTGTCTTAGGGAAGGGGAAGGGGTCCAGGTGACAGCTGGTTGGGAGAAGCCAATGCTTCTCCCACTCAGCTGGAAACTAGGCATCGGAGGGTCTTTGTGGCTTGGCAAAGTCCCCTGTTAAGTGGGAGTGGAAACTTTTGGGGAAGGGAGGGTCGTCAGTCAGCCAAGTGCCTCAGTGTGCCCTGCTAACTTGGGTTTTTCCATACAACTGATGGATGTGCCCTAGGAGGACTGTTTTGTGGTCCCTCCTGTGTAAGACGTGGCTCTACTAGGTCTCCCTAGCCACTTGAGGAAACCTCCCGACCGACCTCTTTTTACTTGTGAATCTTTTATAAGTAGCTGTAGACGGGGAGGGGGAGGGGCGGGGAGTGGCCGTCAGACTTGCAGTCGGTTTTGGCTTTGCCGAGTAGCGTTAGCAGCTGGGTCTGTGCATGTGTCTGTGTCCGCCTGTCCAGGGCTCGTGCTCACGTTTCGCACCGGGAGCTGGGAGAAAAAAAACCTGTACAGTTGTCTTCCTCTTGTTTTTAATAAGAAAATCGCGCACTTGCGCGTCCCCCTCCCTTCCCCCCCCTTTTTTTTTAAACAAGTGTTATTCGTGCCGGGAAAAGATTTGCTGTCGTTGTAATTTTAAAACTTTAAAATAAAATTGGGAAATGGAAAAAAACAAACGTAGTGGTCTATTTTTTTTATACCTTTAAGACGGGAGGAGAATGCGGAGCCGTCGGGCTGCTGGGCGCGGGAGGACATCTGGGGCCGAGTTTGCACCTGAGAATGCCCGGGGGGTGGGGGGTTCCGAGAGCTGGACGGAAACTTTGGGACTGCAAGGTGTAGAACATGTCTCAGCCTCCGTCTAGGCTCCGTCCTCTGGGGCCAGGGGGCAACCCCTTTCTAAGAGGTGGGTGTGTAGGCGGGGGATGGGATTGAGATGGGGGCCTGGTGGGCTCTACTTCCTCGGGTTCTTTAGGAAATCAATCCACTTTCGTCCTTGGCTGATACTGCCACGCCCCGCGGGTTCCCGGCCCCGCCCCTTGAAGGAAGCCTCTCTCGCTGCGATTGGCTGCCGCGGCCCGGCCCCCGGCCACGTGACAGCCAGCGGCTGCCGGGTGCACGGCTCCGGGCTGGCTGGCGGGCACCGGAGCGGTGGGCGCGATGTGGGCTGGCGGCTTCTGGCGTGCTGCGCTCTCCCGGGCTCCCTGCGGCTGCCGCTCACAGTCAGCGGTGGCTCAACTGCGCGGCATCCTGGAGGGGGAGTTGGAAGGGATCCGTGCGGCTGGCACCTGGAAGAGTGAGCGGATCATCACCTCCCGCCAGGGGCCGCACATCCATGTGGATGGCGTCTCCGGAGGTAACTTCCGCTCCTGGGAGTCGTCGGACCTGGCTGGGTGGTCGAGAGCTTGTCCAGGGCTAGCACAGTAATGGAGATCCTAGAGTCGGGGCGGGGGTTGGGAACGGCGCCTGCATAATAGAGCTCTGGGTCCCCTTCCCRTCTGCCAGGCTGCCGTGGCTTCCCAGAGTTAACTCTAACCTGGTTAAACTTGTTTCGTCGCAGGGAGGTGATTTACCCTGGAGCACCTTTTTGGCAGAGGGCAGGGATAGGCCTAGACCCGGCACTGTGAGAAAAAGAGATCCAGCTGCCTCCCATCGTGTGGTTCCAGGGAAAGGTGGTGGGAAAAAATCTGTTCTTAAGCGGCTGCTTTGTGAAGAGGCCTCTACTAATTTTCGCACGTGGGCTCCTGCTGGTCCCTAGGAGTGACGAATGTCATTTACGTTGTAGAAGTTGGAATTCAGAGATGTAGTTTGTCCAGAAACCCCCAGCTGGCTGTGGGTAGTTGTGGAAATCTGGACCTGGAAGTTTAGCTAACTGGCCAGTGAGGCCAATTTCAGAGTCAAGTCAAAACCAGCGAGCTTCCAGGGCTGCTACAGAAGCCACACATRCGTTGTCCGCACCAGGTCTTCCTCATGTCACTGCACTCAGTGGTCACTGCCCATCCTATTTGTGCTGGCCTCAGATGAGTGGTGGTGGTTATCAACAGGCTCCCGAAGCTTCTGACTGACTAGGAAATAGGCATGAACTCCTTGGTACTGATGTTTCATTTGGAAGTCTGGGAAATCCTTGTCTTCCCCCACAGGAAGCATAGATTGGTGAGGGCAAAAAAGAATGTAGGAGGTAGAAACCACGTCTTCCAATCAGTGCAGTCCAACAGAACCCCAGCCAGACCAAATCTAAGGAAAGGCCCAAATGAACACAGAGATACTTAATCAAAAGATGGGATGTTAGCTGGGCTGGTGCACACCTGTAATCCTGGCTATTCAGGAGGGTGAGGAAGGAAGATYGCAAGTTCAAGACCAGCCTGGGCAACTTAAAAAGACCTGTCTTAAAATTAARAATAAAAAAGGGCTAGGAATGTCGCTTAGGGGTAGAGGACCCCTAGGTTCAATCCCTAGCATCACACACATGCACCAAAGATGGGAAAATAGACCAAGTGCTCATCCTGTCTTCACCTTGCTCAGGCTGTGAATCTTCCTCTCCTCAGGCCTCAGGCTTCTCCTCAGGTCAGCTGTGCTCCCTTTGGGCTTTATAATTGAGGACCAGGGCCTCAGGGACCACCCTTGGGGTGGTGATTCTGTATGAACAACAAAAAACTCTGGAATCAAAACCACAGTGGGGCCAAGCACAGTGGCGTATACCTGTAATCCCAGCAGCTCAGGAGGCTAAGGCAGGARGATCATGAGTTCAAGGCCAGCCTCAGCAATTTAGCGCGACCATAAGCAACTCAGCAAATCGCCATCTCAAAATAAAACGTTGTTTAAAAAYGGGCTGGAGATGTGTCTCCATGGATAAGTGCCCCTGGGTTCAATTCTTGGTATCAAAACAACAACAACAACAAAAAACCCTGCAGTGGGCATCTGACCCAGCCCTCTCCTTTTACCCACAAGGAATCCAAGACCTAGAAGAGAGGTTGGTGGGGTCTTCGGGGCAGGAGAAGCCTGTGACGAAGGGCTAGGTTTCTCCTTAGGTGGAATGTGATTCCCCGAGTGCAGTGCTGAGCAGGACCCCTCACTAACCTGCCTCCTCTGTAGTGTTGGATTCACTGCCTCCTGGGGGACCCCCAGCTCCCGTCCTAGCCCCAGAATGGAGCATCTGTGTAGTTGTAGCTTTCTTACAGGTGAATCCAGGTTCCTTTCCTCTCTGAACCATTTCCCYGGGGCCTGGCGCTGTGACCTTCCAGGCCCTTCCTTGCCCTTCCTGAGGTGTCCTTCTCTTGCCTTCCTCTTCAGGGATCCTTAACTTCTGTGCCAACAACTACCTGGGCCTGAGCAGCCACCCCGAGGTGATCCAGGCTGGCCTGCAGGCTCTGCAGGAGTTTGGAGCTGGCCTTAGCTCAGTCCGCTTCATCTGCGGGACCCAGGTACACAGTGGGTGTTGGGGGGCGGCTGGCCCCAGCTGTCCGCTTCCCACAGCCAGCAGGGCTGCTTTAGCCAGCTCAGCTAGTCCCCGTGCTCTGGGCCCGTGTTTGCCCAGAGCAGGTCGTAGAAAGGCTGGGCGCAAGCCTCTGGCCAAGACACCTCCAGATAAGAAACTTTACCTGTCTGAGCTTGTTTCCCCACCTGCAGAGCAGAGTTCCCCATGGTTTTCTCCACTGGTAAATTGGGGAAAATAGTACTTAATAGGACTGTAGAAATTAACGAGTTAGTACATGTAAAAATGCTTACAACCGTGCCTGGCCCACACTTAGTAAATTTTGGCTACTGTTTACTTTGAGTGATAAAATATGTTCATGTTAAATATGAAATATATTCAGTGTCAAATCCTTTTTTTTTTTTTTAGTTGCCAATGGACCTTTATTTTATTTATTTATATACGGTGCTGAGAATCAAACCCAGTGCCTCACACATGCTAGGCAAGCGCCTAGCCTCTGAGCCCTAGCCCCAGCCCCTCAAATACTCTTTTAAGGACATTACAAGTATCAACTCATTAATTCTCTTGATAATCCTGAGGGTTAGATGCTCTTCTGATCTCTGTGGTTGACACGAGGACATGGAGGCTCAGAGAGGTTAAGTGATTTGCCCAAAAATATACCGCTTGTCATGGTGGAATTTGAACCCAGGTAGCCTGGCTCACTTTTTTCTTGAAGAAAAGTAAGGGTGAAATGAACATCAGGCAGAATCCCTGTCTCCCATCTAGATAGATACTCTCCAACAAAACCCCCAGCCAGACCCAATAGCTTTCAAATCTAAGATGCAGACGCCCGAGTCTTCTTTGTCATGAAGCAACCAAAGGGACACTCCTTTTGCTATTAGGAAGACATCTTCTCCAGCCTGTAATCCCAGTGACTTGGAAAGCTAAGTTAGAAGGATCACAAGTTAAAGGCCAGCCTCAGCAACTTAGGAAGACCCTGTTTCTAAATAAATAAAGGAAGGAAGATGTCTTTCCCATCAGCACCCACGGTTCCACCACGAGGTCCATCCAGGATAGGAAACCTAGCAAGTCCCCAACTCAGTAGGAACCATGTGTCAGGTTCCTGCCGGCYCTGGGATAACCTGTGCGGTGCAGAAAGAGGGATCAAGGGCCTGGGAGTGTAGCTCATTGGTAGAAGGCAGGTGGGCAAGGCTGAGGCTGCAGCCTCCTGGGTTCTGGGCTGGGTCTGTTTGAGGCTCTCTAAGCCTCTGTCTTCTAGGGCTAGTCCCACAGGACTCCACAGGAGTGAATACCTACGTGGCTTGTGTCCATTTTTTAGAGCATTCACAAGAGTCTAGAAGCCAAAATAGCCCGCTTCCACCAGCGGGAGGATGCCATCCTCTATCCCAGCTGTTTCGATGCCAACGCTGGCCTCTTTGAGGTGTGTGGAGGCTGTGGGTGGGAGCTGGGTGGGGCCTGCAGAGCCACGGATGGTATGGGATGGTCCATCAGGGGAACCCAGCAGGATGCGGCTGCTGTTCCTGGAAGTTCCAGTGCCCTTTCTTACGGAGGTCATGGCTGGGCCCCGCAGGTGTTCTAGGAGGAAGCCTGGGGCTGCAAGGAGCCCCGCTTCTAGAGCATCTGGGGGTAACTGACATCAGCTGGAAGAAGGCTGGGGCTGGCGGGGCCTGGGACTCACCAGGCCATGTCTCACCTGCTCTCACCGGAGGAGGGCCCTGGTCCAGCCCTGCAGTGGGCACTGGGAACCAGGTGGAGGTGGARGGGCCTTGCTTCCCTGCCCAGAGGAGTGCCCTGGCTGTCAGTGAAATCCTGACCTGGGGGGGCATCATGAAGGAGAGAGAATGCCGAGGTGGCTGGGTGATGACTCTGCCGATTGCCCCCTCCAGGCTCTGCTGACCCCTGAGGATGCGGTGCTGTCGGATGAGCTGAACCATGCCTCCATCATTGACGGCATCCGTCTGTGCAAGGCCCACAAGTATCGCTACAGGCACCTGGACATGGCTGACCTAGAAGCCAAGCTAAAGGAGGCCCAGGTGGGATGAGGCCCTGGAGCTTGCCCTCAGCCTCCCTGGTGAAGGCGCTGAGACTTGGGGAGGCTCCCTCCTCACTCAGGTCCAGCCTGGAGGTCTGACGCCACCAGGATCCCAACCCAAAGCCTCAGCCGCCTGGCTACCTTCAGGGCAACGGGCACCTTCCAGGACGGGTAGAAACGGCGCAGGACCTGGCTTCACCTCACCCTGCCCTCTGGGACCTGACCCAGGAGGTCACACCTGGGACACTTCTCACTGCCCAGGCTGTGTGGCTCCAGGCTGCCCCGAGGAGGTGTAGGGCTCAGTCAGGTGCTCGCGGGGGAGAGGATTTACAGCCAAAAAGTGGCAGAACCTCGGTGCCCGCCTCTCAGACCCCCAAGCAGCGCAGGGCAGGTGCTTAGGCCCAGCTGACCACAGCGCTCGCCGCCTTCCTGTCTTCCCCGCAGAAACATCGGCTGCGCCTAGTGGCCACCGACGGAGCCTTTTCCATGGATGGTGACATCGCCCCCCTGCAGGACATCTGCCGCCTGGCCTCTCAATATGGTGCCCTGGTCTTTGTGGATGAATGTCATGCCACCGGTTTCCTGGGGCCCACAGGACGGTGGGAGCATGTGGCACCTGAGGCCTGGGTGGGGCTTCTGAGGGTGGGTGGAAAACCAGGAGGCTAGCCCCAGCCTGCCCCACGGGTGGCACTCAGGAGACCAGCGGCAGCAGTGGCTGCTTTCCTTGCAGGGGCACAGATGAGCTGCTGGGCGTGATGGACCAGGTCACCATCGTCAACTCCACCCTGGGGAAGGCGCTGGGTGGAGCATCAGGTGCCCGGAGGGGTGTCAGGGAAGTGGGGGGTGGCAGAGGACAGCACTCACTGTATTCCAGAAGGGACGGGGCTGGGCTCTGGGCCCTGACCAACCCCACGCCCCTCCCATGTTCTCAGGGGGCTATACAACAGGACCCGGGCCTCTGGTGTCCCTGCTGCGGCAGCGGGCCCGGCCCTACCTCTTCTCCAACAGTCTGCCTCCTGCTGTGGTGGGCTGTGCCTCCAAGGCCCTGGACCTGCTCATGGAGAGCAACACCATTGTCCAGTCTATGGCTGCCAAGACCCAGCGGTGCGGTTCCCAGCAGGGGTGGGGCAGGCGGAGAGTGGGGGTGTGGTGAGGGCTTCCCGGGCCACAGGCTCCTCCTGAAGTCTCCATGTCCCCCGTCAGACCTGCCTTTCCCCCCTCTCTCCTGCCTGCCCTGGGTCTGCTTCCCCCTCCCTTGTAGGGTCTGTGCCTCTGTCTTTGTTGGTTCATCTTGCAAACTTGGGCACAGATCCTGAGCCATGTACCCAGGAGCCCTGTGAATGTCCCTCAGTTGTCTTGCTCTGTCCACAGGTTCCGCACTAAAATGGAGGCTGCTGGCTTCACCATCTCRGGAGCCAGTCACCCCATCTGCCCTGTAATGCTGGGTGACGCCCGGCTGGCCTCTTGCATGGCTGATGACATGCTGAAGAGAGGTAAGGAACTGGGGCAGGAGGACCGAGGGATCCTAAGAGGAAAGAAATGGGAACCCAAAGACTGTGGGTCTCCCTTCTCCCCACCCCACCCCTCTCTTAGACCAGCTGTGGGTCCCGCCCCACAACCCCAGACATGGGCAGCACCGTGTCTGAGACCTTGGGCAGCTCCTGGCCCTGTGCGGGCCTCGGGAGAGCCGGCACTGGGTGTGGTGTCCCCCGGAGCCCGTGCAGCTCTTGCACTCTGCTGTCCACCTCCACAGGCATCTTTGTCATCGGGTTCAGCTACCCTGTGGTTCCCAAGGGCAAGGCGCGGATCCGGGTCCAGATCTCAGCGGTGCACAGCGAGGAGGACATTGACCGCTGTGTGGAGGCCTTCGTGGAGGTGGGGCGCTTGCACAAAGCATTGCCCTGAGTGCCGGGCACAGCGGCAGAGCCAAGATCCCCTACTGCCACCGCGAAAAGGGGGGCCTTTGATCAGGCCAGAGGCTCTAACCCCTGACCCCAAATCCTGGGGCTGGCTCAGAGAAGGCCTGTGCTTGTGCCACGAGGGTGTGAGACAACAGTGTGAGAAGTGCTGTGACTCCGGTCTGCTTTATTCTCTGTGGGGCCCAGTCCGGTGGTGGGGTAGACAGGAGCCAGGATTGCAAGGAAGCCTCCTGCAAGAGGACTGTCCCTCCCAGGGCTGACCTCCCCTCCAAATGAAGACAGGAGTGTCTGGGAGATAAGCAGGGGCCACGTTGGCTCAGCTGCATTCTGTGATGCTATGTTATGCTGGGAACCAGCCCTGCGTACCCCCTCCCATGCCACTCACCCTGTTCTGCAGCCCCCCAAGTCTAGGGTTGGTGGACACCTTGTCCTCTGCGCCCCATCCAAAGAATATCCTCTAGTACCCAGATAAGAAGAGATGGCGTGCCCAAAACCACGTTTGGGAGGAGAGGTAGGGCATTTAGGCCCTAAAGAAAAGAATGTGACTCACTACTGAGAAGCCCCTGACAATCTGGAATGCTGTGTTCCAGACCACTTTGTCCCTGACTCCATGACCTGGGGCAAGCCCCATTTGCTGTGTGTCCCAGTTTGCCCTACTGTACAGAGAGGCTGTTACATTGTGATCTAGGCTCTTCCATTGCGCTCCTTCCCAGGCCTACTGCCTGATGATCAGCCGCCAGAGGGCGCAGCTATTTCAGGCTTGGGTCGCTGTGCGGTTGCCGTCTGCCCCGCCCACTTCAGACTGGTGGCCTTGGACTGCGGTGATTTCGGCGGCCACAGGCAAGGCCTGGAAGGACGATCTGCGGCTCCAAGGCCCCATCCTCCCTTCCCCGCCCCAAACGACTCGCTGCTCCCCTATTGGAGGTGCCAGCCTCTTTGCCACAGTCGCTGCCCCTGGTCTGCCCCTGGTCCTACAGGCGTCACAGGATGAGGGGAGTGCCTGCATTGGGCTCAGGCTCCTGGGCTCATGGTGCTGGTGGGGGTGGGGACTGAGTTCTGAGTCAGTGCAGCTCCAGCGTGGCGTGGCCTTGGAAAGTTCTAGTTTGCCTGGTGTGTCACATGGGAGGAAAGGCTCTTTGTCATTAACTCTCTGGCACCTCCAGCCCTGGGGGAGCTCTGGCCGGATCCTGAGGGTGCTTAAAATTGAGATTCAGGGCATTGTAGCCTACGATCGGGAAGGAGCTTGGGGCCAAGAGGCTGCAGTCGTGCAGGAGGTCATGGTGCCCAAGGGGATCAGGCGGCATGGCTGGCAGGTGTGGTCACATCAGCGGCAGGAACACTTGCAGGCCGCCACTACTGGGTAGAGCACCTGGCGCCATGCGCACTGCTGCAGGGGGTGTGCCTGACCTGGTGGCAGCCTGGGCCTCAACCAGCAGTGCCAGGCCAGCAGCTTGATGTGCATGGTCTGTGCAGGCCGGCAGGTCATGCCAGGCGGCCAGGAACAAGCGGGAGGCAACGCATCGCAGTCGGTGTGGCGGACCCAGCGGGGCCAGAAAACGGGGCCCAGATCTACCCAAGATGAGTTGAGGCCAACAGGAAGCGAGGTCCACCAGCCAGTGGCGCAGAATGCTCGAAGCCTCCCGCAGCCCCCAGGCTCCGCTGCTGGTGTTGGGCTCCAGGGCCGGCAGTGCGGGCAGCGGCAGCTCGGCGACCTCCCGAGCCAGCTGGCCGAGGTAGCGCTCCATGCTGTCAGCCAGCTCGCGGCTCAGCGTGCCCATCCGCCCCTCCCGGTGTCCGCCACGGTGAGGCTCCTCCTCCGTCAACCAGAAGGGATCGTAGGAGGCGCCTGTGTTTCGCCCAGCAGACTCAACAGCCGATCCGGGCGCCTGTGTTTCGCCCAGCAGACTCAACAGCCGATCCGGGCGCCTGTGTTTCGGCTTCGGCGCGTACTGGTAGTCGCCAGCCTCCCGCGACAAGCCCTAGGGCCTTGCAGGACCCGAGGGCCGGCTGCGGATCAGCTGCAAGTCGGCGTCCTGTGGGGCCCAGAGCTCTGGGGACCGCTGTTCGCCSGGCACCTGGTTGAAGGGCGCGGCCATGAGTAAGGCAGTCAGCAGCAGCAGGAGCAAGAGGAGAAGGTGGCAGTAGGGACACCCTGAAGCTCCGGTCATGACCCCACACCAGTCCTGGCTGCCCAGCCGCACTTTCCGTGGTCGCCTCTCCTCCTTCCTCTTCCCCTCCTCCCCTGCTATCATATCTGCTCAGCCCTGCTGTGCCAGAAGCCCTTGGCCCCAGTACTGCCAGCCCAACCCCCTGGAAGAGAGGCCTTGAGGGCAGGGGGCTCCCAAGGAGCCTGGGGCCGCCGGATCATGGATCTCAGGGGCTTTCCAACCGGTTCTGCGTGTTTCCATGCTAATACTGTCCATGATTCCAAAAAACCTACTGCACTAAGCCTAGAATCCTACAAATTCCCTTGATCAGGGATCATAAGATCCTACAATGCTAATTCGCTCAATCTCTAGCTCCAAAATTTTGGGGATTCTCTACATCTGGAGTTGGTAATGCAGGGCTTCAGAGTCACCTCTGAGCGTTGGCGAACAGCCCTGGCCTCCTAGGAACTGATCCCAAGGTCTTCCCCAGCTCCTCTGGCCTCCAATGGAAGCCTCAGCTCTGCCAGCACTCTTTACAGTCTCCCCTCCCAGTCAGTTTCTAGAAAGACCCTTCCTGACTCAGGGCAAACTGCCTTCTGCCTCTCCCCACCTGTCCAATATGACAGCAACCTCCTGGTTATGAATCCAGACCACTGCACGGCTCCCCAGTGCATTTGGCTATGTGCCACTCCTCCAAGGGTCCAGGCCAGCACCCCATGGATCACATAGCCATTCACCTAGACCTTTTCACTTCTTTGGCTGTTGCCTGGAGAAGAGGCTCTGAGTAGGTCTCTCTCTCTGTGTCCATTTTTTTTTTTTTTWAATTTTTTTAGCAGCTTGATGTGCATGGTCTGTGCAGGCCGGCAGGTCATGCCAGGTGGCCAGGTCATAATAAACTTCTTTCAAAATAAAATGTGCAGGTCATGTCCCTGCTCTAGAACCTTCATTAGCTCCCTGTTACTCTCAAACTAAAGAGAAACTCTTAGGACCGTTTCCTGAACCATCTGGAACAAGTTTAGGGGAGATGGGTTTCTGGGGGTTCACAAGGGCCTGAGGAGGGGGTCCTACCTGAAGTCTACAGGAAGGGTACTCATATACTGGCTTCCCAGCTCAGGAAAGCCCTTTAAGACTAGGAATTTAGACGGACCTGGTGGTGTACTCCTATAATTCCAGCTACTCTGGAGGCTGACAGGAGGATCACAAATTCAAAATCAGCCTCAGCAACTTAATGAGATCTTGTCTCAAAAAAAGTGTGTGTGTGGGGGGGTGCTGGGTTGCAGCTCAGTAGCAGAGGGCCCCTGGATTTAATCCCCAGTACCACACACATGCACAAGGAGTAGGAATCCTGTCCTTGCTTAGTATGGATTGGAGCAGAGAGGGGAGAGGAGAAGGGGTGGAGTCATCGGCAGGGTGGATGGAGGTGGGAGTGTCAGGAATGTGCTGGGCTCTGGACACCAAGGGGTTAACTACATAGCCAATCTCAGAGAGCGAGATCAATGGGTTACTCCCAGGAAAGAGAGAATGAGGCAGCAGCAACGCAGACAGGCAGAGGCAGAGAAGAGCCAGGCAGAAGAGCATGCCACCCCGGGGAGTCAGGGATTGAGCACRGTGGCTGGTGGCTACTCTGGAGGGAGTGCCCAAGTCGGACTCTGCAGACGGGGGCAGAGGAGAGGAGGGGCCTTGAAGGCAAAGGGAGAAGTAGGAGGCAGACCTGTACCTGCAGGGAGGCACCAAGGGGCAGCCGCTGAGCCAGGAGGCAGCCCTAGCCTGGCCGTTCCACCCAGGAGGGCCCAGTTCCCAGGGCTGAGGTGGGTGCTGCCCATTCTGGGCTTGGGGGCTTGCTGCATGCTGGGTCCTGGGTGGGAGCAGATGGTGCCTTTCTTCCCTCCTCCCTGCTTCCCTACCCCAGCTCCTAATCCATTCCTACCCCACTGTCCCAGCATGCAAGGGGATCCACAGGTAGCAGATGTGGGCTCCGGGATGGGGCAAGGATAAGGTTGTCAGTGGTACCATTGTTACAGCCTCCGATGAGCACCCCGGCCTAGGAGCCAGGGTACAGATGCACCCAAGGTGTGCCATTCACCACCCTGTTCCCCCTCTGGGCCTCAATTTCTCCATGCTCAGAAAAGACCATATGGTTTTCCTACCTTTGCCCTCGTGGGGAATCTCACTAGACCAGACTCACCAATGATTTAGGGATGTCACACATTTTGCTGAGGCTACCAGCCAGAGAAAGTCCTGAACCCCATGTCCAAGGGTCTCCCCTGAGCTTTAGAGCCCCATCGAGAAATAAGGGAAATATATCAAGCTCCTGGGATTGATGCTGCCCCTCCCCCATCTGCCATGTCTTCACCTGTCGGTCTTCATCTGCCTCATGAGTGGAAGGTGTCCGTCAATWACTCAGAGTCCTCTGCACCCTGGGTCACAGGAGTGTTCCCTAGGAAACTGAAGAACTGCATCCCCCCACCACCAATGTGACTGTGCCAGGGACTTGCTCACACAGTGGGTCCCAGTGTTGACTTTTGGCTTTGCCCCTCTCCACCATTACCCATGAGCTTCCAGTCCAGGACACCTGGCCAGACCCAGGCTAGGGGAACTAGGGCCTCCAAGACAAGTGCCCAGAGCAGGGGACACACTGCCTGAGGACTCCAGCTTCTCTTCCCCAGGTGTCCATCTGATGGGGAGATGGCTGATGCCCAGAACATTTCGCTGGAGAGCCCTGGAAGTGTGGGGGCCGTGGCAGTGCCTGTGGTCTTTGCCCTCATCTTCCTGCTGGGCACAGTGGGCAATGGACTGGTGCTGGCGGTGCTGCTGCAGCCAGGCCCAAGCACCTGGCAGGAGCCAGGCAGCACCACGGATCTGTTCATCCTCAACCTGGCCGTGGCTGACCTCTGCTTCATCCTGTGCTGCGTGCCCTTCCAGGCCGCCATCTACACGCTGGAGGCCTGGCTCTTCGGGGCGCTCGTCTGTAAGGCCGTGCACCTGCTCATCTACCTCACCATGTATGCCAGCAGCTTCACCTTAGCTGCCGTCTCAGTGGACAGGTGGGCTGTGCCTGGGRCCCAACTGGGGAGGGAAGTCCTGCACAGATTCTCACTGAACTTAGAAAGGAAAGAATCGGGGACCGACAAGGGAGGTAGGAAGGAGGGAAGGAGAGCTCTCTGGGCTCTGCAGGGCATGCCTAAGGGGACCATGCTGCCCCGCCCACACACACACACACACACACACACACATTATAGAGTTCAGGGGACATCTCTTCAGTCTCAAGAGTTGACATAGGAGGTGAAATTCTTGGCAAAAGAAATTCCCAATGTTTTAAGATATTTTGCAACTGATCATTCCAGGCCCCGGTCATGCTGACACCTGCATCAAATGGCTTGAAACTTGGGGTCAAATCCAGGCTGAGTGCCTAGCTGATAACCTTGGGCAATTACTTGTTTCACCCTTACTTGATTCCGATGTGAAAGAATTCTGGACATCTAAGAATTCATAAAGTCTAAGTGCACGCCTGTAATCTCAGGGCCTTGGGAGGCTGAGACAGGAGGATTGAAAGTTCGAGACCAACCTCAGCAACTTAGCGAGGCTCTTATCTCAAAATAAAAACTAAAAAGGGCTGGGGGGGGGGGTCTAGGGCCCCTGAGTTTAATCCCCAACACCAAAAAATAAAATAACATAGAAGGGCGATTGGGCCCTTGCTAGGTGTCAGGCTTGGCTCTCAGCACGTAGCGTGATAGCGCCCTGGGTCCTTAGGATCCCCCCACTGTCAGTCCAGGAGCTCCAGGTCCACCCCGGCACAGGACCCCTGAGCAGGGGCATGGACCCGGGCCGGCGGGGGAAGGCCGCCGCTGACCCCGCGCCGCCGCCCGCAGGTACCTGGCCGTGCGGCACCCGCTGCGCTCTCGGGCCTTGCGCACCCCGCGCAACGCGCGCGCCGCCGTGGGCCTAGTGTGGCTGCTGGCGGCGCTCTTCTCGGCGCCCTACCTCAGCTACTACGGCACGGTGCGCTACGGCGCGCTCGAGCTCTGCGTGCCCGCCTGGGAGGACGCGCGCCGCCGCGCCCTGGACGTGGCCACCTTCGCCGCGGGCTACCTGCTGCCGGTGGCCGTGGTGAGCCTGGCCTACGGGCGCACGCTGCGCTTCCTGTGGGCCGCCGTGGGCCCCGCGGGCGCGGCGGCGGCAGAGGCGCGGCGACGGGCCACGGGCCGCGCGGGGCGCGCCATGCTGGCGGTGGCCGCGCTGTACGCCCTCTGCTGGGGCCCGCACCACGCGCTCATCCTCTGCTTCTGGTACGGCCGCTTCGCCTTCAGCCCCGCCACCTACGCCTGCCGCCTGGCCTCGCACTGCCTCGCCTACGCCAACTCCTGCCTCAACCCGCTCGTCTACGCGCTCGCCTCGCGCCACTTCCGCGCGCGCTTCCGCCGCCTGTGGCCCTGCGGCCGCCGCCGCCGCCACCGCGCCCGCTGCCCCGCGAGCGCCCGCCGCGCCCTCCGGCGCGTCCGCCCGGCGTCTTCGGGTCCCGCCCTCTGCCCCGGGGGCGCTGGGCCTCGCGGGAGGCTGCCGGCCGGGGGCGGCTGGAGCGGGGAGCCCGCCCGCCTKGGGGAGGCCGGGCGAGCCCTGTGTGCCTGAGGACCCGAATAAACCTTGCCTTCCTGGACTCTGCTGGTATCTGTCCATCCGTCTGTCTGTCGGGCCGTTTCCTGTAGGGCAAGACGCCACTGGGCTAGGGGACCGGGCCAAGGCCAAGAGCCCTTTGAGGAGGCTCTTACAGGGTGGCAGAGCCGCCCCAGATCGCGGCAGTGAAAGTGTCCCGCCCTGGCCCTGTCCAGAGCCAGCCAGGCAGGAGAGCGGTCCTGCTACCCATCCATCTGGCCCCACCTTTCAGGCCCTGCTTCCTCCATCCTCTGTACCAGCCCCTTCTCTGTCCCAAACCCTGTCCTAAGTAACTGGATACTAGCAGTTAACAGCGAATACTCACAAGCTCTACATTCCTTATTAAGACAGCCTTACAAGGTAAAGACGGTTASCCTCATTTGACAACCACGGCAATCAAGGATCAGAGAGCCTTAGTGATCTGTCCGAGGTCACATATCTAGTGTTTGGTAGAG